CCTGCCGCCACAGCGGCCCTCACCCACCGCGGCGCCCTCCCGCTGCCGGAGCGCCCCTCACTCGCCACCGCCCCCTGCCGCCATCGCGCCCCTAACCCGCCGCCACAGCCCCCGTTACTATCGCAGCGCCCCTAACCCGCCGCCACAGCGCCTCCGCCACCCGGCCCGGCAGCGGCAGGACCGGCCCCTGCCGTCAGGCGGGTCGGGCCCCGCCACAGAGCCCTCGCCCAGCCGGCGGTCCCGGCCCATCTGGCGGCGGTGCCGGTGGCGGCCTGCTCCGCCCCGCGGACCCACCTGGCTGCGGGGCCGGTGTCGGTGGGAGGGCGCGGCCGCCCCCGGGGCCGCCCGGCCGCGACAGAACCCGGGGGCGGGTTCGCGGAGCGTCGCCGGCCGGTGCCGGGGTGTCCGGCGCTGCCCGGGGACAGGACTTTGGGTGGTGACATGAACAGCGATAACGTGTGCGGGGAGCGGGCCCGGGAGGGGAGCTTTGCAGCGTGGTTGGTATTTCAGATTCAAAACTGGCCTGGACCAAAAGCCGTTGCCCTGTAGGTGCGTGCTTGTCTGCACACCCTTAAGAAGCTCAGTGACTCCTGGGGGGATGAGGATGCCGGGTTTGGTGACCTCGATTCTGTTGTACTGTGCCAGTTTTAACAGGGAAAGATAAGGAAAAATATTTTGGGAATATCCACTGGAAGATATTTATGATGCACACTTTCAAAGATTGATTTGAGGAAGCACTGAGGAGAGTTTGACTGAAGTTGAAGCAGCATCAAACCAAGAGGGATGATGAGGGGAGTTTGTATAGGATGAGCACTGAACGTGAGTAATTTTGAGGGATGCTCCAAGGATCTGTGAGAAAGGGCTGAAAGAAAACAACTCGGTTTAAAAGGAGTATCAGATGAGCAGAAGCCAAGCAATTTTGCCAACTCCAAGAGCTCAAAAGGGTGTATGTCTGAAAGCTGAAATAAAATCTTGTGAAGATTATGGAGTGGATTTATGTCTCACTGAGTATTTTTGAATGGAGCTATATATTTATGTGCCTTCAGCTTTTCCAGTCTGCATTTTTCATGTGTGTCACATTTTCCAGCTTTTTGCTACAGCTATTTGCACTAGAAAAACACTGTTGTAAATGGAAAATGAGTTTTTGCGTTACCTGTAATCTGGAAACTGCCACCTTTGAGCATTCTGGAAGAAATGGTCTAGCGTGCATGTGGAGAAGATAATATGAGTGCTGGGTACATCCAGGAAAGAGAGTCTGAAGGAGGAACGGAGGAGGGAGACTGTCCTGGCTGAGGAACATGACTCACAAGAGGGACGCCCCCAGAGAGCGTTTCAAGACAGCACTTTGCAGCAGTCCAGGCCTGGACTCCCAGCAGATGAAGCTGGCGGCCTGCACACCCTCTGCAGCACTGTAAAGTGTGTTTTGTGATGGAAGTGTGACAAGGTAGTGCTTAAGGTCAAACAGAAGAGAGCAAGTTCCTCAGAAAACAAGTCTTTGTGATGGGGTTACAAATGAAGAAGTCTGCTGAGCAAGAATACCTTGCTCTTGCTGGGGAAATGCACACCTTTTGATGAGATCATATCGTTCCCTGTATCCAGTCATCTGACCTGACCAACAGCAACTCCAAAGCTTCTCTGAGGAACAGCCCAGACCATCTGAAGTGATTGGCTTGCGCTCTCCAGAGTGCTGGCAGTTGGTCATGGACCACTTTGGAGTGAGGAAATGCAGCGTTTTCAGCTGTGACAGAGGTCAGCGCAGCGTCTCAGGGACTGCACAGACACCGATGAGCGCTGGAGGGGGAGAGGAGACACCACCCCAGACGGGTTGCCTACATGAGAGAGACTGCATACCCCCCTCCCATGGGAGAGTCACACCATTCGTACTCCAGTCTCAGGGAAATTGATGGACACCATGACCAGACACAATATCTGAGTTCACAACATCTGTATTTTTTTTTTTTAAAGTATACTTTTTAGTTAGGGGTAGAGCAGCAGCTCCTTCCTACGTGAGAAGAAAGTGAGTCTGTTTTCAGCTATTTCTTGAAGTTAAAAATGCAGCTGGGACAAAAGTTTCCTATGTTTGTAACGTATACTGTACATTTTTCTCTGGGATCAGCAAAGACTGTTCCAACAGAGTAAATAAGCCTGTCCAGGACATCCAGCAGAGCAAGTCACCCATACCACAACTTAAGGCAGAAAACTATCCAAGGACATAAAGCCCAAATAAGGTGAAGTACGCACAAAAGTACATGCACCTGGAGAATAACAGGGTAGGCACAGCCAGAGGCACAACAGACATCAAATGAGGGAATGCATTTTCTCAGGTTTGTGAGGTCAAAGATGACAATCATGGTAATTAGTCTTCCTGGCCACTCCATGACCCTGTTGTAGCCCATGCATTCTGTATCATGATCCTCATGCGCTTTATCATTTCTGGCTGAAATAAAGTGTGTCCTTAAAAAATACCTAGTCCTTTTTTGGGGGGATAATGACACAAAAATGGTGGTACAGAGTCAAATCATAAGTAGACCTGACTGATTTACCCTGTTCCTGACAATGACCAACACTGAATGCCTAGAAAAAATCATAAAAATAGGGCGGACACAGAGTGACACCTCCCTGAATGCTCTCCTAGCCTGGAGTGATTTGTGACTCGGAGACCTGCTATGACAGAGGTGTTGGCTTTGTGTTTAATAGCCTTTGATGGATTTCTCTTTTGCAACTTCCATCCACTATATATTCACAGACATGAAATTTAAGGCCACAAAGGACCATTAATTCTGCCCACTTAGGCGACAAGAAATTTCACATGAGCTCAAATGATGTCTGTTACACAAACCAAGTAAATTGTAACATACTAAAAGCTGCCACTAATTTCACTAGCTAATTACTTTCATCACTAAAAGCAGATGCCTATTTTCAGTTGGAATTGTCTGTTGCAGTTTAAAGCTGCTGGTTTTGGTGTTGCTGTTGTTGTGCCTTACCCAGAGTCAATTAAAAATCGATTTAGTTTCCAGCATTTTTACTCCACAAAAAATACACCCTCATCAGATCACCTCACAACTTTCTAAGCAATTAGAGTTCATAGAATCACAGAATGGTTTGGGCTGGAAGGGATCTTTAAAGGCTGTCTAGTCCAACCACCCTGCTGTGATCAGGGACATCTTCAACCGGACCAGGTTGCTCAGAGCCCCGTCCAACCTGGCCTGGAATGTTTCCAGGGATGGGGCATCCACCACCTCACTGGGCAACCTGGCTCGGGGTCTCACCATCCTCAGAGTAAAGCATTTCTTCCTGGTATGTAATCTGAATCTACCCTCTTCTAGTTTAAAACCATTAGAACCAGTGTAAAGCTACTGCCACTTGTCTTATCGCTAAAGGAGTTCTGCATCTCTCATTGTAAAATATTTTTTCCAATCTTCAGATAAATTTTGTGAATCTCTTGAACATTCTCTTTTTTTCCCTCTCTGTTCCCTTTGAGCCTTAAAAAAAAGGACTATGCCACCAGGAGCCTTATTGCTCTCTCTCACATCAACAGCATCAGTTTCCCCTGGATTGTCTACCTGTATAGATCTGTTATAATGTGTCTTGATTTTAAACTATAAACTTTACAGGGCTGGGATAGCTCTGTATTTTATTGTCTAAAATAGTGAGTCCTAGTCAAATTAAGCTGCTTGTGCATTAATACAGAATCACAGAATCTTCTAGGTTGGAAGGGACCTTAAAGATCATCTTGTCCAACCATCAACCTGACTGACAAAAATAGACACCCACACAACAAACAAGGAGCATCATCACTAAACCAGACCTCCCAGCACTACATCAACCCGTCTTTTGAACGTCTTTTGAATCCCCTCCAGGGATGGGGCCTCAACCACCTCCCTGGGCAGCCCATTCCAAGGGCTGAGAACCCTTTCAGTGAAAACATTTTTCCTAATTTCCATCCTGAACCTCCCCTGAGGCAACGTGAGGCCATTTCCTCTTGTCCTGTAGCCTGTGACTTGAGAAAAAAGACCCACCCCCATCTCTCTACACCCTCCTTTCAGGGAGTTGGAGAGAGCAATAAGGTCTCCCCTCAGCCTCCTCTTCTCCAGGCTGAATAACCCCAGCTCCCTCAGCCTCTCCTCATAAGACTTATTCTCCAGACCCCTCACCAGCTTTGTTGCCCTTCTCTGGACCCGCTCCAGCCCCTCAATGTCTTTTTTATGGTAGGGGGCCCAAAACTGGACACAGTACTCAAGGTGAGGCCTCACCAGTGCCGAGTGCAGGGGGACAAGTTGATACAGTTGATTTCTTTCCTGACTGAGCTTTTGGGGTTGATACATCTTACTTGGAGGAGTGACTTGCCTTTGTTTTCCCCAAATACATAAGTTTGCACTTGGCTCCTTTCAGACAAAACCTGTTTGGATAGCCTTGCTCTGCCACACACTCTTCCCTGTTCTTATCCTCTCTTTATCACTGGTTTTTTTCAGTGCTCATTTTTTACATCATCTGCAAGTTTTATCAGTAGAGATCTTACATTTGCTTCCAAATCATCAATTAAGCGTCAAACAACACTGGCTGGAGAACTGTCACCCCAGGACCTAAGTAGGAGTGCGCAAATCCAAAATTGGCTCTTACTTGATATGCCAGCAGCTCCTAATTAGCATTATTTGTTTGCTACTGTATAACTTTCTGTTTAATAGTTAAGGCATTGTATTAAAGCAAATGGACTTTCAGGTCTGTAGTGGCTGTCTGATCATCTTTTAACTCCACATGTAACTTCAAAGGCTTCAGTCAAACTGTTTGCCAGGTCTCACTTCCTGTACAACAACCTTGGCTAATATTAGTTATACAGCAATGCCAGCTCCTCGAATTTCAATTGCTTATAGTCTAATGTTAGGTATCTGTAAAGAACAATTAACATTTTTATTGTTTGGAATAACACTGGATCAATTCGTTCAACATTTAATTTGATTTTTTTCTTTCCTCTTCACACCATTTGCCTTATTGCATTTTTAGTTTACTAGAATTTCCCAGGCTATTCCAGCTAGAGCATAGCTGTAAGAGTTAACCTGTCTGCCTGTAAGATGCAAGTTGTTCCTTTCATATACCCTGATCTCACCCTGGAATGCAAAGTTTTGATCAGTGAAACAGAATATTCAGGTTATGGACTCAGCAGTCTGCTGGCAGTAGTGCTTGCCTTTCCTTTCCCACAGAGCTTGATTGAAAAAAAAAAAAAAAAATCAGCTTCCAGCTTTCCTCAGTTTTCTCCCAAGGTACTAGATGCTCTTAGGAGTTTAAAGTTCTGTGTAGAATTGCATCATTGTCTTATATGCGCCAACATGGGCAGTGACTTACCAAACAATGATCTGTTCCAATTTTTTTGTTTACACCTTTCTTTTATTTAAATGACAATCCATCAAATCCCAGCATCCTGTTTCCTGTGATTCTCTCTCTTCTCTAATGAAGACTCGCTAATAATTCTAGCTTGCGCTATGTCATTTTAAAACCTTCTCTGTAGCAGCTTGATTTACACCACAGATATCCCCAACTGCTATGTCCCTTTCGGCTTTCAGTTTCATTACCACAGGGATTTCCTGACAATTAACTTACTGCGTCTTTTTCAATGTTTATTCTTTCAATTTGGTTGCACGACACCTGTTTTACCCCCATGTGTCATATCAGACTGTGGCTTTGCTTACAGAATCACAGAATCACCATGGTTGGAAGGGACCCCTGAGATCATCAAGTCCAACCTTAAAAAAACAAACAAACAAACAAAAAAAACCAACGAAACAAAAAATCACAACACCCCACCACATCGCACCCACCCACAAAACACCAATCTCAGGCAATAGAACATTCCCTGAAGAGCCATGTCTACACGTTTCTTAAATACTTCCAGGGATGGTGACTCTACCACCTCCCTGGGCAGGCTGTTCCAGGGCCTGAACCCCCTCTCAGTAAAGTAATTCTTCCTAATATCTAATCTAACCCTCCCCTGCCCCAACTTCAGCCCGTTTCATCTGCTCCTGTCATTATTCACTTGGGAGAAGAGGCCAACCCCCACCTCTCTACAACGTCCCTTCAGGTAGTTGTAGAGGGCAATGAGGTCTCCCCTCTGCCTCCTCTTCTTCAAACTAAACACGCCCAGTTCCCTCAGTCTTTCCTCATAGGACTTGTTCTCCAGACCCCTCACCAGCTTGGTGGCTCTCCTCTGGACACGCTCCAGCACTTCAATGTCCTTCCTGTAGTGAGGGACCCAGAACTGAACACACTCCCCGAGGCCAAGCCTCACCAGTGCCGAGTACAGAGGCACGATGACTTCCCTATTCCCGCTGGCCACACCGTTCCTGATCCAGGCCAGGATGCCGTTGGCCTTCTTGGCCACCTGGGCACACTGCTGGCTCACGTTCAGCCGGCTGTCCACCAACACTCCTAGGTCGTTTTCTGCCGGGCAGCTCTCCAGCCACTCTTCCCCAAGCCCGTAGCGTCACCTGGGGTCGGTGGGACCGAAATGCAGGACCTGGCCCTTGGCCTTATTAAACCTCATCCCATTGGCCTTGGCCCATTGATCCAGTCTGTCCAGATCCCTCTGTAGAGCCTTACGACCTTCAAGCAGATCAACACTCCCACCTAGTTTGGTGTCATCTGCAAACTTACTGAGGGTATGTTGTCTTCTACAGCATCCAGTGCTGATTCCCAGTCTTTCCAAAAATGTGATCTAGAACAATGATGCAGGGAATTCTCCTTGGATATTACACCATACTGAAACTTGCATTTACAAGCTGTGCATCTTCTCTGGTGTCGTGAGGTTGTATTTCATGCGTGAGAATCTCTTTTGTCTTCAAGGAGACAAACGCACCGTGAGTGGAGCTCGCAGCAGCAGGGCCTCTCACATTGCGCTGGTCCCGATGGGGAGACCGTCACAGCACATGGAGGAGTCGATGCCCCACATGACAGCTGACCTGAGTGTGCGCCGGCCCACACTGCACTGCTCGCATGGAGCCACACTCAGTCCTGTCTGTCCTGCACAAAGCCCCTGCCTGCAGGACACCCCCAGCCAGAGGACGGCAACGCAGGAGCCCACAAGCAGCTCTGGGTCCACACCAGCCATTTCCCACCCGTGCAGCCTTGTCTTTGTCTAAGCACGAGGGAAGAAATTCTCACGCAAATATCCTCTCTGTCTGATGAATAAAGTTGTTTTCTTGTAATCCTACAATAGCTCTAATGGCCAAGGGGGAGAATCTGCTCTGCAGGTGGGGTCTGCACGGTGCACTGTGTGTGGGTCAGAGGCCCATTCACTGCTGCATCCCTTGGGTTCTCCTCACCTGAAGGATGTAAAATTATCTATCCTACTCTCTCTTCATGATGTTAGTTATAATACATCATATTTTAAATGATACCTAACCTTCAGATTGGCTTCCCTACTGGGACCATCATGGATCAGCATCTCCTCAGCAAAACAGCTGCTCATAACAAGTAAGTTTCCCAGTGACCTTCTCTTGTTCTCACTCCTTGAAGTTTTGCTTAGCAACAAATGTGCATTCCAGTAAGACACGCAGCAGAGATCTTTCTTCCCATGTAAATATAATCATAACACCTCTTACTTTAAAATAAACAAATCTGAGATTTCTATCCAATTTGAAGCAGTGTTCCAGATTTTGAATACTTCTGAAGCTTTTCTAATCTTCCAGCATCTCTCTTGATGCTGACACCAGACCTTCAGCTCATGCTCCTCGTGAGTGTAGCAAATAAAAGCTTTTTCCTTAAACAGTGCTTATGTAGCCATGAATGGGGTGAATCACACTCACTGGTTCATCACATTGAAATTCACAAGTTCACATCAGGGCTCTGGCCTTTGATTTCTGGATACTGGCTGGAAAGAAGCAGCAGGAAGGCTGGGGGCTTTGCAGTAAAAAGATCGGTGGGTTCCTGATGGGTAACAAATTAAACATTAGCCAGCAGTGTTCCCTTAGAGCAAAGGCAGCCAACAGCATCCTCAGCTGCTTTAGGAGTGTTGCCAGCAGGTCAGAGGCAGGGATCCATCTCCTCAGCTCTGGTGAGATGCATCTGGAGTACTGCCTCCAGCTCTGGAGCCCCCAGCATCAGAAGGACATGGACCTGTTGAAGCGGGTCCAGAGGAGGCCAGAGATGCTGGGAGGGCTGGAGCCCCTCTGCTGGGAGGACAGGCTGAGAAAGTTGGGGGGGGTTCAGCCTGGAGAAGAGAAGGCGCCGAGGAGCCCTTGGAGCCCCTTCCAGTCCTTAATGAGGCTCCAGGAAAGCTGGGGAGGGACTCTGGATCACAGAGAGGAGCCATAGGATGAGGGGAAGCAGATTTACACTAAAGAGGGGAGATTTAGATTAGCTATTAGGAAGAAATTTACTCTGAGGGCAGTGAGACCAGAGAAGTTGTGGATGCTCCATTCCATAAAGTGTTCAAGGCCAGGTCGGATGGGACTTTGAGCAACCTGGTTTGGTGGGAAGTGTCCCTGCCCAGGGCAGGGGGTGGAACGAGATGAGCTTTAAGGTCCTTTCCAACTTAAACCATTCTATGAAGCAAGCTTGGTGGGTGTCAAAAGGAATTTTGCATTCCTTTGCATTACCAGATTACGCAACAAAACAAACGTTCAGCAGTTGTGGGGAAGCCAAACACAGCAGTGACAGTGCAGTGAATAGCTTTGTCCAGCAGCAAACTAGCAAAGCTGCATTTATGTCTCCTTGAACAATAAACACACGAAGACATAAACACAGGGGAGGCTGCAACAGCAGCATCAAGAGTAGCACAAACTAGGTAATTCTGTTCCAGTACCCAGCTCACATTCACCCTCTGCATTGCTCGGCAGAATTGTGTGGCTTAAAGTAAGGTCAACTCTGCTGCTTGTTCTACATCCCGCATGCCAGAGCCTATAAAGTTTACAAGCAACCACGCAAGCCTGCCTGGAAAGAAACTTTTATTTAAAAAACAAACAAAAAACCCCACAAACCCCCCACAGAAACAGCCTCCCTCCATAGCCCATGCCTGTGCCTCAGAGCAGGGCTAGGAAAGCCTTCCTCCTCCCTTGACCTCAGACGCCCTTCACCCATGGCAAGGCTGGGAAGGGGATGGAAAGTGCCAAGTGTTAAGGTGCTGAGAAACTCTTGATGTTTCCAGTCTCTCAAGTGCTGTTGGCCTGTTCCTGCTCGAAGAGGGCCATGGCTAAATGAGAGCGGGACGCGAGTCCTTCCAAGTTGCTAAGCACACAGCGGTGGTATAACTCCTCGCTAAGCCGGGGATTGCAGCTCCTAAGTGCGTATTTCTGCACTAACCCTGGCTCCACAGCCCTAAATAGGTGCAGACCGGAATAGTGGAGGAAGACATCAAACACCTCCATATTCTCCAGCACCTCGTCTCGGTCTAGGATATCAGCTGCAAGCTTGGTACGTGCTGTCATATAGTCAGAGTTATAAAAGCAGGCCTCAGCAAAGGAATGTCTGTCAAAGTGCCCATCCCTCAGGAAGTCGGTGCTGGAGGAAGCCGTCTGCTCACCACGGTACACCAACGCAGGGTTGAACTCCTGGAAATGCACTGGGAAAAACACTTGCCAATTGCTGATAGTATTCATGCGGCAGCGGTTCAGGAACTCCATGTTGATTTCTGTCCAGACGCTGGCCAAGAAGAATAGTGTATCCACAGGGTGCTTCTTTGAAACTATATCCATGAGTTTCACTTGTGATGGCACCTCAGTTTTAACACTAATCCAGGGAATTTTAACTTCTGCATAGCGTTTCTCCAGCTCTCCTACCATGGCTTTGACTCCAGCAAAAACATCCACCTGACTGACTCGCTGGGCATCATAGGGGTGGTAGATAAAAAGCAAAGTCAGCAAGGCGTTATCATGCGTGTCCAGTGTGTTCATAGCAAACATATCCAGGAAGTTTGCCACAAAATCCAGGTCCTGGACTGTCAAGGGAAGCACCAGCTGCACTCGCGTGGCCTCCGTCACATACGGCATAGGAATAATTTCCACCTTGCTTAAGGGCCGCACCAGGCTCACTCGTTTGGCCAGAACATGGCTGTGGCCCTTTTGCGTGACTGCCTCCAGCAGCAGATCCAGTGTATATTCCATGCCCCGCGTGGGGTCAAACCGCCGGTAGCCATTCAGCAACTGCCGCTTGCTGAAGCGGAGCAGAGGCTGGTAGCGACTGTTCAGTTGCTCAAGTGCTGACTCAATGATTTCACTGACATCTGCTTTGCTGGCTCCAGAGAGCTCGCACTTGGGGGAGCCATCAGGACAGGAGAAGAGGTGCTGCTCAGTGAAGTAGTCCCAGCTGATTACCTCAAAACGTGACTTTGGAAGAAATGGGGCGTTAATGCCCACAGGCCATGTCAAGCCTCCCTCACCTGCAGGGGTCAATGATGTCAGGTTCCTGATCTGCATCTGTGCAAAGAGAGAATGGATACTGATCCCGAACACTTCCTCGAAGAGGCACAGTCTGTCTCCCACCCAGCCCTGCCTCACCACCTAGAGCTGTATCTTGGTAGCGTCACACCAGTGGTTTTGGATAACACGGTGTCAGAAGTGCAATTTCTGAGACGTAGGACTATACCCTGTGTCTAGCTGGCGGTCACCTACAGAAGCAATAATCCTCCTTCACTGTCTTAAAAGAAAGGGAAAACTGTTTTGGTCAAGGAGTTTTCAAAGATATCCCTCACCACACACCTGGAGGTCCTGGATCTCCTGGTAGGTTCTGTCCAGCTGGATCCTGCTGAAGTGCTTGTGCAGCCGGTACATCAGGGTCATGTCAGAAACAGGGTGCACAGCAAGAGCTGCTTGGAACTCCTCTTCTTCCTCCTTCTCTGGCTCAGTATTTTTGGCCAGTTCATAGGTGTGATAATGCTGGCCCTGAAGTGGACAAAAGCCAGAAAGTCTAACATGGAACTCGAGTTCACCGAGAAGCCTTCCCTTACCCAGATATGCGTTTGCCCCCCCCCTTCCATGCTGACTGCAATACCCAGAGACGAAAACAGAAGAGTTGTCCCCACCCACCCTAGCCCTCAAACTACACAGAAACATAGGATAGTTTAGGTTGGAAGGAACCTTTAAAGGCCATCTAGTCCACCCTCCCCTGCAATGAGAAAGGACATCTCCAACTAGATGAGGTTGCTCACAGCCCCATCCGATCTGGCCTTGAATGTTTCCAGGGATGGGGCAGCCATTACCTCCTCCAGGCAACCTGTACCAGTGTTTCACCACCCTTACTTTAAAACATTTCTTCCTTTTATATAGGTTAAATTTTCCCTCTTTTAGTTTAAAACCACTATCCCTCATGCTACCGCAATAGGACCTGCTAAAAGTTTGTCCCCTTATAAGCCTCCTTTAAGTACTGAAAAGCTGCAAGAAGATCTCCCCAGAGCCTTCTCTTCTCCATGCTGAACTCCAACTCTCTCAGCCTGTCCTCCCAGCATCTCCAGGGCATCCTCTGGCCCCACTCCAACAGGTCCCTATCCTTCTGATGTTGGTGGCCCCAGACCTGGAGGCAGCACTGGAGGGGGGTCTCCCCAGAGCAGAGCAGAGGGGTACAATCCCCCCTCACCCTGCTGGCCATGCTGCTGGGGATGCAGCCCAGCATGCGGGGGGTTTCTGGGCTGCCAGCACACATTGCCGGCTCATGGCCAACTCTTCCATCCCCAGAACCCCCAAGTCCTCCTCAGGGCTGCTCTCCATCCCCAGCCTGTGCTGGGACCAGGAGCTGCCCTGACCCAGGTGAGGGACCCTGCACTTGGCCTTGTTGGCCCTTATGAGGTTAACACAGACCCACTTCTCCAGCCTGTCCAGGTCCCTCTGGATGGCATCCTATCCCTAAGATGTGTCACTGCACCACTCATCTCGGTGTCACCCACAAACTTGCTGAGGGTGCCCTCGATCCCAAGTCTGTGTCACTGATGAAGATACTGAACAGAACTGGTCCCAGTACAGATGCCCAAGGGACACCACTTTCCCACTTGCGTCTTGGTCATTGTGTCACCAATGTGCCCTTTATCTGACCTCCAAAACCTCTGGATCAGGACCTGCTAGTAGGCTGACAATTAAATACTGTTTGTGTTCTCTCTCCCCTGACATCTCAGCTTTGATTTTGGGCCTCCCCAGTGCTGCCTGCCACACCACATAGCCCTTTCCTTCTGTGTAACTCACAGCAGAGGCTCACAAAGAAGTCCCTTTGCTTTGCAGCACAGAACTAGTAAGACCACAGGTTCTGCCAGGCTTAGCTAACACAAAACTCAGAGAAGGGAGGTAGTACCTGGAGCTGGGAAACACAAGTGATGCCAAGGAAATCAATGATGCAACGTCCCAGCCATTCATCTGGCCGCACGCTGAGAATCTCATTGCGACAGCTGTCCAAGTGCAAGTGGAGCTTGAGCAGCAGGCTGCGGGAGATCAGGTAGCCAAAGCCACCGTGACAATAGCGGGCCTGCTCATCTCCCCCGATAAACTCCTCCGCTCGTCCCAGGTAGACATCTTGGTTAATACTTAGGTGTGTCACCAGAGCCTTGACCTGTTCGGCCTGTACATAGGTGTCATCCTGCATGATGTAGAACCAGTCATAGTCAGAACCAAAATGCTGATGGATATAGTGCATGGTCTCATACATGAGCCAAATGGGCCGCTCGTCCCCGTGGGCCACCAGCACCATGCCGTGAGGCACCTTGGCACTGCGCAACCCTGTGAAATATAGCAGGCGTGGGAAGTGGTGAGCTACCGTCTTGTTCACGGCCACTGCCAACGTATTCAGGGTAGCCTTGGAGGTCAGCACAGCCACAAACAGTCTCTCGTGGAATCCCAATTCCGTCTGTATGTAGCGAGTTCTGTAAAAGAAGGACATACCTACATGACAAAAGAGCTGGATGAGAAAATTCAGAGGATTATTGTAACTTGGGATAAGTCTTTATCTGCTCTACCAATAATGGAACAGCTAAGCCTAAAAGTAGAGCTTTAAGAGAAGACTCACTAGTAAAATCCTGCTTTGTAAAAACACTTGCTTCTTCAAGTAAACTGTAATCTCACATCATTTACTTGAGCTAGGGTACTGTGCTAGTGTATGAAAAAATTAAAAATGCAGAGCTAGCGAACTGCACGTTACATACATTATTCTTAATTGATCAAAATTTTCCCGATGAATAGACTGGTTAAAAAAGTTTTGAAGAACAATTTAACATGTTCTATTAGACATAAGCAATAAAAGAAATATTCTCTAATCTTCCTCTGTGTTTCTATTGCCTTTAATTAACTTCTTAGACACTTATCTTGCACACTTTTAAGGTAAGAATGTTAGCCATTGCCTTGAGCATTGTGCCGTTTCTACATAAGGTATTTCAAACAGGATATTCCATCTTGAACCTGTTAACTCACTGGAAGATTCAGAACCATACACATATGACTAGTAGCCTCGAAGGAAAGCTTGGCCAAAAGAGCAGATTTTACCTGAGCACTTTTTTGTAAGGCTTGTTGGGGTCTCTGTAGTACGGGACAATCCTGGGCCTGAAGTCCTCGTGGCCCGGGCCCGGCTGTCCAGCCGCCGCCTCCAGCCGCGTTCCGCCGGCACGGGCCCCGGGAGGCCCCGCCGCCCCCGGGCACTGCTCCTCGCCCCCGCCCTGGCTCCAGGAGGCGCGCAGCAGGCTCAGGCTGCAGCCCAGGGAGAGGCCCAGGACAAGCGGCAGGACGGGCCGCAGCGCGGCCAACATCGCTGCCAGGCGCATGGCAGCGGCGGGGCCGGCAGAGCGGCCTCCAGCCGCGTTGCGGTGCGGTCCTGGGCGGGGGGGGGACACGACAGCCGTAGGCCCGCTAGGCCCGAGGGGGGCTCACGGGGCCGCGAGGACGCTCCGGGGGCCGGCGACCACGGGACATCGCCGGCACAGGGCACTGGGGCGGCGGGCCCGGCGGGTCAGCGGCCGAGGGCCTCTCTCACCTGCGGGCCAGCGGCGGCCCGGAGCTCGGGACCGGGTGCGCGGGGGCAGACAGCAGCCCCCCCCCGGCCGTGGTCCCGCCGCTGCC